GTTTATACCTATGATCCCCTTTAGATGTCAATAATATTTTACCTATCCTTTTTGGCTCCTGTCTGTTTTACGTTTACTAGAATTCCTGTTATCCTCATTTAAAATCTTAAAAACCAATCCTAGCAAACTGTCCTTTCCTTTCCTAGATTTCGATATTTCAGTATTACACCGGAAACTCTACACAAAAATTTACGACAAAAGGGATGATTTTTCTTTCCCTATTGTTAATTTTCCTTTTTTGGACGGTGATGTTCTTTGTTCCCAGGAGGGATAGATATATACCCTGCCACATCCCGTCTGTTTTTTGTTTGATGTTTTTCTTTGTATCGATCTGATGAGTTCAGCCTTTTTCAATTAATTTTTATAGTTTTTACTTATGTTGTGCTGTTACACCACTGTCCCAGGTTAGGGGAGGGTTGAGCGCTCACAAACATGTTTAACCCCGCCACATTTTTTATGTGCCTGTCCCAAGTCAGGAGCCTGTAGTTCAGTGGTTGTAGTTTGTTCATGTCTGTCATATTTGTTTATCGTAAATTGTTTTGCTATAAATTAGGCCGTTAGTTTTCTCAATTGAATTGTTTCATATGTTTCATGTCGGAGCGGGGCCTGTTATAGCCGACTTTACGGTATGGGTTTTTCTCATTGTTGAAAGCCGTACGATTGTCTATAATTGCTTCCATCCACTTCATTTTAACTTTGGTGGATAGTAGTCTCATTGGCAATCATACCACATCTTCTTACTTTTTGATATAAATCGGAATGGGGCTATAAAATGTTTTGTAACTTCCCGATAGATTATGACCATATTGTAAACCGAGCCAATTCTGCCCCGTACTACATTTCTTTGTACAATAATTGACAATTCAAAATTTTACCTTCTCTTTGATATATATCTCGTTTCTTTTTATATAAGAATACGCAAGACTCAAATTTATATATAACAACAGTTGTATTTGTTGACACAAAAAAAAAAGATTTAAAACTACTTTGTATATAGGTATTTCAAAAGGATGTTGCTAAGTGAACATTGTTAAGTGGACAATTTGTTGTAATCAATTCATCCTGGGGTATCTACTAATATATTAAGTGTATATTTAACCGTATTGAAATGATTTTTTTTATCAATAATTCCTTTAAATATAACTACCAGCAAACGTTTTGTTTCAACATTCGAAACATAACTGGCACAGTTTTCCAAAGAGATTGAACTGTCACTGTTGTAATTAATTTACAGGTTTCTATTTTTCATATGAATGAAAGTTTGTCGATGTCTCTATACAGGAAAGTACAGTTATATCTATATCATGCTTTTAACCAAATTATTAATCACTATTTATTAATTAACATGATTAAAGATTTAAACCTGTAGACTTACTTATCCAGAGATAAAGCTTAGCAGACTCCAAAAGTTTGCAAGAGTTGTTAATCATAGAGTAGTGTGTAACTTTCTACATATTTTATAACCTGTCTTTTAGTTTCGCTGTTGAAAAGTAACGCCAGTATTATCTTATTGATAAGAAATAAAAAAAAGTTTATTTTGAACCCCTTTGCATGGATGTAAAGAACGTTGTTCTTTGATCACAGCTAGTGTTAAAAAAATGTTGTTTTTTTGGGGCTCGAGAAGTCTAGTATAAATATAAAAATAAGGAGATGCGATATGGTGGTCAGTGAGACAACTTTACAGAGACCAACTGACGTAAAAGTCACCGCACGGCCTTCAACAAAATGCAAAACCCATACCGCTTTGCAAGCTATAAAAGGCCCCGACATGAGAAACGTAAAACAATTCAAACGAGAAAACTAACGAAGGCTGCTCGGACTCATAAAGGGATACAAAGGGGAACACAGTTTGTATTTATATAAATATCAACGGTTAGAACAAATGTCTATTATTGTAATTCCACCCTGATACCCGAACATTTTTATTTGAATAAGATTGTCTAATGTATTTTCACAAGACACTCGTCATTTTTATCTGAGTAATGTTTGTGTAATATATTTTCAACTAACACTCTTAACATTTTTATTTGAGTAACGATTTGTTCAACCTTCATGGTTATTTATTTCGGATGTCTATCTATCTATGCTACTGATAATTTTTAAATGACGCATGCATTGTTTTTAATAACTATGTAAACACTTCTTAATAAATATAAGTGTCAAATAAACATTGAAACTATGCAGTGTTTATTTTAGATAATTTGGACAAGGGAGACTTGTTGTAAGACACAATTGTAAAGGAAATATTAGAGACAATCACCTCTTAGATGTTGCAATGTAATAAAATTAAACGTGACTGATATTTTTGGAGATGTTGAAAGGTGGTTAAATTAAACGTGACTGGTATTTTTAGAAGAAATTGTTCCTGTTGATATGTTATTTATTTTCATAAATTACTTTGGTTGCGTACTGTTCCATGTAAAAAAAATATATAGTTTTTTTGTGATTTACAATCCTATAATTTTTATTTTGTGCCAAACGTAAATTTCGTTTATAAGAAAATAAGGAGATGTCGTGTATTCTTTACTGAAACAATACTTCATCAAAACAACAAAATCCAAAGGAAATCCTGATGTCAAAATCGTCCAGAATCTTACCAATTGTAATCTATGTAATATGCGATAGAATATATTAAAAGCATTTAAGGAAAGTTTTCGCCTAGTAAACATGATCTTAAACATATTTTGAGCTTACAGCTTCTGAACCATACAATTACATAGATTTAATAAAGAAAGGCAGGGAACTTTTTTTAGAAACAATGAAAACTTGTCAAAATCATATATAGAATAAAAGACAATTTGTCAATAAAAGACAACGTGTCAATGAAAGAAAATGTGTCAATAAAAGACAATGTGTCTTTTTGGTTAATTGTGTCCTGGGGTTGCTGTCTTATTGACGTATTTCCCAAATCTATTTAGTCGTACATTTAATCCGTTTCGAATCTTTAAAAAAAACTGGAAGGGAATAGAATTAACGTAATCAGAAAGATTAATGCTTATACAATTTTGAAGTAACCCTTTTTCGTGTAACACCAATAAACATTTCTTAACAAATTGTAAAAATTTGAGAATTGGTCAAATAAAACAATTATCTAACTTGGAAACCAAAGCACAATAGAGAAACAAGTCATAGGATAATCATGGAATCGAAATTAAATTTCGACGCCCAATCCCGAAAAAGATGATGGATTGTACAGTATTATATTTAATCAGCTTTCAACATGACCTTAAACAGAAGACTACGTCTCTCGTTGACACTGGGATAAACGTGTCAACTGTGCATATAATATCATGGAACTGCATGTTATTGCATGGACAATGTTCTTTTAAACAAAATGGCTTTGAAGTACACCAAATGTAAGACATTATATACTAGTTATTTATTTTGTCATATGTCACTTCTCGGTCAAACAAATCATATGCAAATAACAGTATTTAAATAATTTGACATACAATTATAACTTCACTTGAATGGCCTTTTATAACTCTGTGTCTAACATAAAATGTAAAATCAAACAACACAATAAGCTGCATGTAAATAGACGGGTACAGAAGAGAACGCGGTAAACATAATACCGGTGTCTATTTATCATAATATTGCTATTGATCGATTGCAGTAAATATAAACAAAAAGAACTAGCATTGCACTCACTGCATACAGCAACTCTTTATCATACCGGCGCGGGACGTTTGCGCTTTTTCATAGGGCATTTGCGCTTTTTTAATGGACATTTGCGCTTCGATTTATTGGACATTTGCGCTTTTTAAAAATGGACATTTGCGCTTTTTATATAGGACATTTGCGCTTTTACAATATTTGCTTCTTATGACCCCCCCCCTCCTTCTTTTATCCGGGAATAGGACCGGCAGGTCAAATCTGCCATAGTCAAAGTCATAATTTTCTTTATAGTTAAAAGTTTAATAGTCATTTCAAAGCACATTCGTGTTTAAAAGTTATTTCATAGCACATTGATATAGTTATATATTATAGCTAAAAGTAAACATTCTAAAGACATAAAAGACCGTATAGTCTTCACAGGTCAGTTTTCGCTTGATATCTGAAGCTCAAGGAATTAACAAATTCAGCTCTTGTAATCTATCCTGACTGGTATTTCGCCCACATTTCAAATACATATTCTGGTTTCTCTTTCTCAATTCTTGCCTGAGGTGCCTGTTCATCCATTTAACGAATTTTAATATAATTAACCGACTGTTGTTCAATGATAAAAATCCATCGTGACAAAAGTCATATACATTTTTCCCGTTATTTGTCTCTATAACTTTGAACTCTATGTTTAAGAATGTGTCAATGTGAACTAACTAACGACAAATATAAGTTGAATTTATTTACGTAATGATTACAACTCATTAAAATTACAGGTAGACGACTATAGGTAAAAAGCGCAAATGTCCGGTCAATTTAATACAGGTGTATCAAAATTTAAAGCGCAAATGGGTCAATATCCCTAATGGACCTTGAGATGAGGAACACAGATTTATGACTCTCATTAAAAAATTAGTCCGCCATACAATTGTGGAAGCTGTGATTTTAAAAATTGACATAAATGAACTAGGACTGGTGTTTTATAGCGCTGATGTGATGTGAAAAAAAGTATAAAAAAATAAACCTGAACAAATAATTACAAAGGATATATTTTTTAATGATTTTTATGGTCAGAATTTTGTGATTATTTCCTGAGGAGAGTGACATTTTTCACTATCTTTCGGGGTTGGGCACTTGACGGGAAAACGAATCACACTTGCCACCCCGAAAATCGCACCACACATGTGCAAGTGTCTCAGCTTCAAAATGAGCCATCATACATATCCAAGTTTACGATATGGCCTGAGCAACAGAAGAAAACGTTAACATTACCGCCTATGGAGAATCTATTACGCATATTGCCCCAAATTGTGGCCTTGAATTTCAAAGGTGATGGAGTGTTTCATGGCTCAGTGACCACAATTTAGGATGATAGCTGCTGAAATCAAGGTCAGTTACACTCTTTTAGTGCTAATTAATCAAAACAATACAAAATGGCTTCCCAAACTTTTGATTTTTATCAAAAATATACTAATTTTTTGTTGTTAAATAGCATTGATGCAGAAAATGGGTCATGTAAAATCTGGACAGGGGCCATTCAGAGGAAAAGAAATTATATTTTAGGGATGCTAAATGTGGCTTATCCAAATGGGAAAAGGACAAAAATGAATGTTGCACGCTTGGCAAAAATGTTACAGTTAAAAACAGTTGACATTGATAGAAATTTAGATGCCTCGCACCTCTGCCATAATGCCTTGTGCGTTAATGCTGACCATATAATTTTTGAGCCCCATGATTTAAATAACCACCGTAAGGTCTGTGTAACTTCACAAAAATGCACCACTCATGAACTGCATGGCACAACATATCCTAACTGCATGTTGCATCTTAAACTGTGGTTTGTTCTATTTTTAATTCTAAAATTTAAGTCTCCGAGGTAACATATTGCACACTTCACTATACATGAATCATTTACTCAAATACAAGTTTCTTACACTGCTAAAAAAATGAAAATGGGATAAAAGCCCTCCCTCTCACCCTCCAAGACACTGAAACAAACATGCATGTTTATATTAACCTGAGGTAACACATTTTACGGCTTGTTTCACGAGTGTTTACCTTTTATTGACATAGGAGGGGGAATAACTCTTGTTGTTTACAAATGTATTTTTAACTGTGTCAGGAAATTGGGACATTCAAACCACATGAACCAACTAAAGACTAAAGTAAGCATGCTTTAAAAGAAATCATCAATATAAAAACCAAACAAATCAAACAAAAACTACAAAATTATAAAATTAGGATATCAAAAGTAAAATTAAAAGCTAACAGAACTGAAATAGTTGCAAATGGAAGTAAATATGGACATGATTTTATTTTATTTTATTTCCTTGTATGTTGTATCAATGAATGTGTGCATGATAGGAAAAATAATTTTTTATGCAATACATGTGTGTTAATTTGCATGTATGATGCTGTGTGTGGTATGTTTCAATGTCAATACACTCTGTAAGATGTGTACAAACTAAATTATGATGTCATAATGCAATGACCTCACAAAAACAATGACGTCACAATGTACTCTTCACCAAAGAAATAACCCATTTTTCCCACTTTCAACACACATACAAAAAAACCTCTAAAATTCTTATTACTTGATGGATTTTGAAAACAAGACTAGTTTTGGAAAGGCCTGTGACTAATCTTTACAGTAATGAACATATATTAGAGATATTTATTCAATAAAAAAAAATATAATAGAAAACAAGACTATCAGGGTGGAAAAATTTCTTAAAACTGATAGTTTTTAAGTGAAAAACACTATATTTACATGATTTATCAACAAAAAATGAGGATTTGTAGAAAGTCTGTAAGGTAGAAGAGGCTTATGAATTGCAGTTATACCAATAAAAGTTAAAACAAATGTTTAAAATGTAAATTTATAACATATGCTTATTGTGTTTTTTTTCTTCCTTAAAAAGGACATAGAACAGTTATAAACATTGCTACCTAAAAGTATTAAAATGAGCTTATTTTATTTCAGATATGGCTAAAACTTCACAGAATTGTTCAGAAATGTGTACTAAAGGGATACAAACTGCAATATAAGTGGAATCTGACATTAGCTGATCTAATATGGGTCAATATCCCTAATGGACCTTGAGATGAGGAACACAGATTTATGACTCTCATTAAAAAATTAGTCCGCCATACAATTGTGGAAGCTGTGATTTTAAAAATTGACATAAATGAACTAGGACTGGTGTTTTATAGCGCTGATGTGATGTGAAAAAAAGTATAAAAAAATAAACCTGAACAAATAATTACAAAGGATATATTTTTTAATGATTTTTATGGTCAGAATTTTGTGATTATTTCCTGAGGAGAGTGACATTTTTCACTATCTTTCGGGGTTGGGCACTTGACGGGAAAACGAATCACACTTGCCACCCCGAAAATCGCACCACACATGTGCAAGTGTCTCAGCTTCAAAATGAGCCATCATACATATCCAAGTTTACGATATGGCCTGAGCAACAGAAGAAAACGTTAACATTACCGCCTATGGAGAATCTATTACGCATATTGCCCCAAATTGTGGCCTTGAATTTCAAAGGTGATGGAGTGTTTCATGGCTCAGTGACCACAATTTAGGATGATAGCTGCTGAAATCAAGGTCAGTTACACTCTTTTAGTGCTAATTAATCAAAACAATACAAAATGGCTTCCCAAACTTTTGATTTTTATCAAAAATATACTAATTTTTTGTTGTTAAATAGCATTGATGCAGAAAATGGGTCATGTAAAATCTGGACAGGGGCCATTCAGAGGAAAAGAAATTATATTTTAGGGATGCTAAATGTGGCTTATCCAAATGGGAAAAGGACAAAAATGAATGTTGCACGCTTGGCAAAAATGTTACAGTTAAAAACAGTTGACATTGATAGAAATTTAGATGCCTCGCACCTCTGCCATAATGCCTTGTGCGTTAATGCTGACCATATAATTTTTGAGCCCCATGATTTAAATAACCACCGTAAGGTCTGTGTAACTTCACAAAAATGCACCACTCATGAACTGCATGGCACAACATATCCTAACTGCATGTTGCATCTTAAACTGTGGTTTGTTCTATTTTTAATTCTAAAATTTAAGTCTCCGAGGTAACATATTGCACACTTCACTATACATGAATCATTTACTCAAATACAAGTTTCTTACACTGCTAAAAAAATGAAAATGGGATAAAAGCCCTCCCTCTCACCCTCCAAGACACTGAAACAAACATGCATGTTTATATTAACCTGAGGTAACACATTTTACGGCTTGTTTCACGAGTGTTTACCTTTTATTGACATAGGAGGGGGAATAACTCTTGTTGTTTACAAATGTATTTTTAACTGTGTCAGGAAATTGGGACATTCAAACCACATGAACCAACTAAAGACTAAAGTAAGCATGCTTTAAAAGAAATCATCAATATAAAAACCAAACAAATCAAACAAAAACTACAAAATTATAAAATTAGGATATCAAAAGTAAAATTAAAAGCTAACAGAACTGAAATAGTTGCAAATGGAAGTAAATATGGACATGATTTTATTTTATTTTATTTCCTTGTATGTTGTATCAATGAATGTGTGCATGATAGGAAAAATAATTTTTTATGCAATACATGTGTGTTAATTTGCATGTATGATGCTGTGTGTGGTATGTTTCAATGTCAATACACTCTGTAAGATGTGTACAAACTAAATTATGATGTCATAATGCAATGACCTCACAAAAACAATGACGTCACAATGTACTCTTCACCAAAGAAATAACCCATTTTTCCCACTTTCAACACACATACAAAAAAACCTCTAAAATTCTTATTACTTGATGGATTTTGAAAACAAGACTAGTTTTGGAAAGGCCTGTGACTAATCTTTACAGTAATGAACATATATTAGAGATATTTATTCAATAAAAAAAAATATAATAGAAAACAAGACTATCAGGGTGGAAAAATTTCTTAAAACTGATAGTTTTTAAGTGAAAAACACTATATTTACATGATTTATCAACAAAAAATGAGGATTTGTAGAAAGTCTGTAAGGTAGAAGAGGCTTATGAATTGCAGTTATACCAATAAAAGTTAAAACAAATGTTTAAAATGTAAATTTATAACATATGCTTATTGTGTTTTTTTTCTTCCTTAAAAAGGACATAGAACAGTTATAAACATTGCTACCTAAAAGTATTAAAATGAGCTTATTTTATTTCAGATATGGCTAAAACTTCACAGAATTGTTCAGAAATGTGTACTAAAGGGATACAAACTGCAATATAAGTGGAATCTGACATTAGCTGATCTAATATGGGTCAATATCCCTAATGGACCTTGAGATGAGGAACACAGATTTATGACTCTCATTAAAAAATTAGTCCGCCATACAATTGTGGAAGCTGTGATTTTAAAAATTGACATAAATGAACTAGGACTGGTGTTTTATAGCGCTGATGTGATGTGAAAAAAAGTATAAAAAAATAAACCTGAACAAATAATTACAAAGGATATATTTTTTAATGATTTTTATGGTCAGAATTTTGTGATTATTTCCTGAGGAGAGTGACATTTTTCACTATCTTTCGGGGTTGGGCACTTGACGGGAAAACGAATCACACTTGCCACCCCGAAAATCGCACCACACATGTGCAAGTGTCTCAGCTTCAAAATGAGCCATCATACATATCCAAGTTTACGATATGGCCTGAGCAACAGAAGAAAACGTTAACATTACCGCCTATGGAGAATCTATTACGCATATTGCCCCAAATTGTGGCCTTGAATTTCAAAGGTGATGGAGTGTTTCATGGCTCAGTGACCACAATTTAGGATGATAGCTGCTGAAATCAAGGTCAGTTACACTCTTTTAGTGCTAATTAATCAAAACAATACAAAATGGCTTCCCAAACTTTTGATTTTTATCAAAAATATACTAATTTTTTGTTGTTAAATAGCATTGATGCAGAAAATGGGTCATGTAAAATCTGGACAGGGGCCATTCAGAGGAAAAGAAATTATATTTTAGGGATGCTAAATGTGGCTTATCCAAATGGGAAAAGGACAAAAATGAATGTTGCACGCTTGGCAAAAATGTTACAGTTAAAAACAGTTGACATTGATAGAAATTTAGATGCCTCGCACCTCTGCCATAATGCCTTGTGCGTTAATGCTGACCATATAATTTTTGAGCCCCATGATTTAAATAACCACCGTAAGGTCTGTGTAACTTCACAAAAATGCACCACTCATGAACTGCATGGCACAACATATCCTAACTGCATGTTGCATCTTAAACTGTGGTTTGTTCTATTTTTAATTCTAAAATTTAAGTCTCCGAGGTAACATATTGCACACTTCACTATACATGAATCATTTACTCAAATACAAGTTTCTTACACTGCTAAAAAAATGAAAATGGGATAAAAGCCCTCCCTCTCACCCTCCAAGACACTGAAACAAACATGCATGTTTATATTAACCTGAGGTAACACATTTTACGGCTTGTTTCACGAGTGTTTACCTTTTATTGACATAGGAGGGGGAATAACTCTTGTTGTTTACAAATGTATTTTTAACTGTGTCAGGAAATTGGGACATTCAAACCACATGAACCAACTAAAGACTAAAGTAAGCATGCTTTAAAAGAAATCATCAATATAAAAACCAAACAAATCAAACAAAAACTACAAAATTATAAAATTAGGATATCAAAAGTAAAATTAAAAGCTAACAGAACTGAAATAGTTGCAAATGGAAGTAAATATGGACATGATTTTATTTTATTTTATTTCCTTGTATGTTGTATCAATGAATGTGTGCATGATAGGAAAAATAATTTTTTATGCAATACATGTGTGTTAATTTGCATGTATGATGCTGTGTGTGGTATGTTTCAATGTCAATACACTCTGTAAGATGTGTACAAACTAAATTATGATGTCATAATGCAATGACCTCACAAAAACAATGACGTCACAATGTACTCTTCACCAAAGAAATAACCCATTTTTCCCACTTTCAACACACATACAAAAAAACCTCTAAAATTCTTATTACTTGATGGATTTTGAAAACAAGACTAGTTTTGGAAAGGCCTGTGACTAATCTTTACAGTAATGAACATATATTAGAGATATTTATTCAATAAAAAAAAATATAATAGAAAACAAGACTATCAGGGTGGAAAAATTTCTTAAAACTGATAGTTTTTAAGTGAAAAACACTATATTTACATGATTTATCAACAAAAAATGAGGATTTGTAGAAAGTCTGTAAGGTAGAAGAGGCTTATGAATTGCAGTTATACCAATAAAAGTTAAAACAAATGTTTAAAATGTAAATTTATAACATATGCTTATTGTGTTTTTTTTCTTCCTTAAAAAGGACATAGAACAGTTATAAACATTGCTACCTAAAAGTATTAAAATGAGCTTATTTTATTTCAGATATGGCTAAAACTTCACAGAATTGTTCAGAAATGTGTACTAAAGGGATACAAACTGCAATATAAGTGGAATCTGACATTAGCTGATCTAATATGGGTCAATATCCCTAATGGACCTTGAGATGAGGAACACAGATTTATGACTCTCATTAAAAAATTAGTCCGCCATACAATTGTGGAAGCTGTGATTTTAAAAATTGACATAAATGAACTAGGACTGGTGTTTTATAGCGCTGATGTGATGTGAAAAAAAGTATAAAAAAATAAACCTGAACAAATAATTACAAAGGATATATTTTTTAATGATTTTTATGGTCAGAATTTTGTGATTATTTCCTGAGGAGAGTGACATTTTTCACTATCTTTCGGGGTTGGGCACTTGACGGGAAAACGAATCACACTTGCCACCCCGAAAATCGCACCACACATGTGCAAGTGTCTCAGCTTCAAAATGAGCCATCATACATATCCAAGTTTACGATATGGCCTGAGCAACAGAAGAAAACGTTAACATTACCGCCTATGGAGAATCTATTACGCATATTGCCCCAAATTGTGGCCTTGAATTTCAAAGGTGATGGAGTGTTTCATGGCTCAGTGACCACAATTTAGGATGATAGCTGCTGAAATCAAGGTCAGTTACACTCTTTTAGTGCTAATTAATCAAAACAATACAAAATGGCTTCCCAAACTTTTGATTTTTATCAAAAATATACTAATTTTTTGTTGTTAAATAGCATTGATGCAGAAAATGGGTCATGTAAAATCTGGACAGGGGCCATTCAGAGGAAAAGAAATTATATTTTAGGGATGCTAAATGTGGCTTATCCAAATGGGAAAAGGACAAAAATGAATGTTGCACGCTTGGCAAAAATGTTACAGTTAAAAACAGTTGACATTGATAGAAATTTAGATGCCTCGCACCTCTGCCATAATGCCTTGTGCGTTAATGCTGACCATATAATTTTTGAGCCCCATGATTTAAATAACCACCGTAAGGTCTGTGTAACTTCACAAAAATGCACCACTCATGAACTGCATGGCACAACATATCCTAACTGCATGTTGCATCTTAAACTGTGGTTTGTTCTATTTTTAATTCTAAAATTTAAGTCTCCGAGGTAACATATTGCACACTTCACTATACATGAATCATTTACTCAAATACAAGTTTCTTACACTGCTAAAAAAATGAAAATGGGATAAAAGCCCTCCCTCTCACCCTCCAAGACACTGAAACAAACATGCATGTTTATATTAACCTGAGGTAACACATTTTACGGCTTGTTTCACGAGTGTTTACCTTTTATTGACATAGGAGGGGGAATAACTCTTGTTGTTTACAAATGTATTTTTAACTGTGTCAGGAAATTGGGACATTCAAACCACATGAACCAACTAAAGACTAAAGTAAGCATGCTTTAAAAGAAATCATCAATATAAAAACCAAACAAATCAAACAAAAACTACAAAATTATAAAATTAGGATATCAAAAGTAAAATTAAAAGCTAACAGAACTGAAATAGTTGCAAATGGAAGTAAATATGGACATGATTTTATTTTATTTTATTTCCTTGTATGTTGTATCAATGAATGTGTGCATGATAGGAAAAATAATTTTTTATGCAATACATGTGTGTTAATTTGCATGTATGATGCTGTGTGTGGTATGTTTCAATGTCAATACACTCTGTAAGATGTGTACAAACTAAATTATGATGTCATAATGCAATGACCTCACAAAAACAATGACGTCACAATGTACTCTTCACCAAAGAAATAACCCATTTTTCCCACTTTCAACACACATACAAAAAAACCTCTAAAATTCTTATTACTTGATGGATTTTGAAAACAAGACTAGTTTTGGAAAGGCCTGTGACTAATCTTTACAGTAATGAACATATATTAGAGATATTTATTCAATAAAAAAAAATATAATAGAAAACAAGACTATCAGGGTGGAAAAATTTCTTAAAACTGATAGTTTTTAAGTGAAAAACACTATATTTACATGATTTATCAACAAAAAATGAGGATTTGTAGAAAGTCTGTAAGGTAGAAGAGGCTTATGAATTGCAGTTATACCAATAAAAGTTAAAACAAATGTTTAAAATGTAAATTTATAACATATGCTTATTGTGTTTTTTTTCTTCCTTAAAAAGGACATAGAACAGTTATAAACATTGCTACCTAAAAGTATTAAAATGAGCTTATTTTATTTCAGATATGGCTAAAACTTCACAGAATTGTTCAGAAATGTGTACTAAAGGGATACAAACTGCAATATAAGTGGAATCTGACATTAGCTGATCTAATATGGGTCAATATCCCTAATGGACCTTGAGATGAGGAACACAGATTTATGACTCTCATTAAAAAATTAGTCCGCCATACAATTGTGGAAGCTGTGATTTTAAAAATTGACATAAATGAACTAGGACTGGTGTTTTATAGCGCTGATGTGATGTGAAAAAAAGTATAAAAAAATAAACCTGAACAAATAATTACAAAGGATATATTTTTTAATGATTTTTATGGTCAGAATTTTGTGATTATTTCCTGAGGAGAGTGACATTTTTCACTATCTTTCGGGGTTGGGCACTTGACGGGAAAACGAATCACACTTGCCACCCCGAAAATCGCACCACACATGTGCAAGTGTCTCAGCTTCAAAATGAGCCATCATACATATCCAAGTTTACGATATGGCCTGAGCAACAGAAGAAAACGTTAACATTACCGCCTATGGAGAATCTATTACGCATATTGCCCCAAATTGTGGCCTTGAATTTCAAAGGTGATGGAGTGTTTCATGGCTCAGTGACCACAATTTAGGATGATAGCTGCTGAAATCAAGGTCAGTTACACTCTTTTAGTGCTAATTAATCAAAACAATACAAAATGGCTTCCCAAACTTTTGATTTTTATCAAAAATATACTAATTTTTTGTTGTTAAATAGCATTGATGCAGAAAATGGGTCATGTAAAATCTGGACAGGGGCCATTCAGAGGAAAAGAAATTATATTTTAGGGATGCTAAATGTGGCTTATCCAAATGGGAAAAGGACAAAAATGAATGTTGCACGCTTGGCAAAAATGTTACAGTTAAAAACAGTTGACATTGATAGAAATTTAGATGCCTCGCACCTCTGCCATAATGCCTTGTGCGTTAATGCTGACCATATAATTTTTGAGCCCCATGATTTAAATAACCACCGTAAGGTCTGTGTAACTTCACAAAAATGCACCACTCATGAACTGCATGGCACAACATATCCTAACTGCATGTTGCATCTTAAACTGTGGTTTGTTCTATTTTTAATTCTAAAATTTAAGTCTCCGAGGTAACATATTGCACACTTCACTATACATGAATCATTTACTCAAATACAAGTTTCTTACACTGCTAAAAAAATGAAAATGGGATAAAAGCCCTCCCTCTCACCCTCCAAGACACTGAAACAAACATGCATGTTTATATTAACCTGAGGTAACACATTTTACGGCTTGTTTCACGAGTGTTTACCTTTTATTGACATAGGAGGGGGAATAACTCTTGTTGTTTACAAATGTATTTTTAACTGTGTCAGGAAATTGGGACATTCAAACCACATGAACCAACTAAAGACTAAAGTAAGCATGCTTTAAAAGAAATCATCAATATAAAAACCAAACAAATCAAACAAAAACTACAAAATTATAAAATTAGGATATCAAAAGTAAAATTAAAAGCTAACAGAACTGAAATAGTTGCAAATGGAAGTAAATATGGACATGATTTTATTTTATTTTATTTCCTTGTATGTTGTATCAATGAATGTGTGCATGATAGGAAAAATAATTTTTTATGCAATACATGTGTGTTAATTTGCATGTATGATGCTGTGTGTGGTATGTTTCAATGTCAATACACTCTGTAAGATGTGTACAAACTAAATTATGATGTCATAATGCAATGACCTCACAAAAACAATGACGTCACAATGTACTCTTCACCAAAGAAATAACCCATTTTTCCCACTTTCAACACACATACAAAAAAACCTCTAAAATTCTTATTACTTGATGGATTTTGAAAACAAGACTAGTTTTGGAAAGGCCTGTGACTAATCTTTACAGTAATGAACATATATTAGAGATATTTATTCAATAAAAAAAAATATAATAGAAAACAAGACTATCAGGGTGGAAAAATTTCTTAAAACTGATAGTTTTTAAGTGAAAAACACTATATTTACATGATTTATCAACAAAAAATGAGGATTTGTAGAAAGTCTGTAAGGTAGAAGAGGCTTATGAATTGCAGTTATACCAATAAAAGTTAAAACAAATGTTTAAAATGTAAATTTATAACATATGCTTATTGTGTTTTTTTTCTTCCTTAAAAAGGACATAGAACAGTTATAAACATTGCTACCTAAAAGTATTAAAATGAGCTTATTTTATTTCAGATATGGCTAAAACTTCACAGAATTGTTCAGAAATGTGTACTAAAGGGATACAAACTGCAATATAAGTGGAATCTGACATTAGCTGATCTAATATGGGTCAATATCCCTAATGGACCTTGAGATGAGGAACACAGATTTATGACTCTCATTAAAAAATTAGTCCGCCATACAATTGTGGAAGCTGTGATTTTAAAAATTGACATAAATGAACTAGGACTGGTGTTTTATAGCGCTGATGTGATGTGAAAAAAAGTATAAAAAAATAAACCTGAACAAATAATTACAAAGGATATATTTTTTAATGATTTTTATGGTCAGAATTTTGTGATTATTTCCTGAGGAGAGTGACATTTTTCACTATCTTTCGGGGTTGGGCACTTGACGGGAAAACGAATCACACTTGCCACCCCGAAAATCGCACCACACATGTGCAAGTGTCTCAGCTTCAAAATGAGCCATCATACATATCCAAGTTTACGATATGGCCTGAGCAACAGAAGAAAACGTTAACATTACCGCCTATGGAGAATCTATTACGCATATTGCCCCAAATTGTGGCCTTGAATTTCAAAGGTGATGGAGTGTTTCATGGCTCAGTGACCACAATTTAGGATGATAGCTGCTGAAATCAAGGTCAGTTACACTCTTTTAGTGCTAATTAATCAAAACAATACAAAATGGCTTCCCAAACTTTTGATTTTTATCAAAAATATACTAATTTTTTGTTGTTAAATAGCATTGATGCAGAAAATGGGTCATGTAAAATCTGGACAGGGGCCATTCAGAGGAAAAGAAATTATATTTTAGGGATGCTAAATGTGGCTTATCCAAATGGGAAAAGGACAAAAATGAATGTTGCACGCTTGGCAAAAATGTTACAGTTAAAAACAGTTGACATTGATAGAAATTTAGATGCCTCGCACCTCTGCCATAATGCCTTGTGCGTTAATGCTGACCATATAATTTTTGAGCCCCATGATTTAAATAACCACCGTAAGGTCTGTGTAACTTCACAAAAATGCACCACTCATGAACTGCATGGCACAACATATCCTAACTGCATGTTGCATCTTAAACTGTGGTTTGTTCTATTTTTAATTCTAAAATTTAAGTCTCCGAGGTAACATATTGCACACTTCACTATACATGAATCATTTACTCAAATACAAGTTTCTTACACTGCTAAAAAAATGAAAATGGGATAAAAGCCCTCCCTCTCACCCTCCAAGACACTGAAACAAACATGCATGTTTATATTAACCTGAGGTAACACATTTTACGGCTTGTTTCACGAGTGTTTACCTTTTATTGACATAGGAGGGGGAATAACTCTTGTTGTTTACAAATGTATTTTTAACTGTGTCAGGAAATTGGGACATTCAAACCACATGAACCAACTAAAGACTAAAGTAAGCATGCTTTAAAAGAAATCATCAATATAAAAACCAAACAAATCAAACAAAAACTACAAAATTATAAAATTAGGATATCAAAAGTAAAATTAAAAGCTAACAGAACTGAAATAGTTGCAAATGGAAGTAAATATGGACATGATTTTATTTTATTTTATTTCCTTGTATGTTGTATCAATGAATGTGTGCATGATAGGAAAAATAATTTTTTATGCAATACATGTGTGTTAATTTGCATGTATGATGCTGTGTGTGGTATGTTTCAATGTCAATACACTCTGTAAGATGTGTACAAACTAAATTATGATGTCATAATGCAATGACCTCACAAAAACAATGACGTCACAATGTACTCTTCACCAAAGAAATAACCCATTTTTCCCACTTTCAACACACATACAAAAAAACCTCTAAAATTCTTATTACTTGATGGATTTTGAAAACAAGACTAGTTTTGGAAAGGCCTGTGACTAATCTTTACAGTAATGAACATATATTAGAGATATTTATTCAATAAAAAAAAATATAATAGAAAACAAGACTATCAGGGTGGAAAAATTTCTTAAAACTGATAGTTTTTAAGTGAAAAACACTATATTTACATGATTTATCAACAAAAAATGAGGATTTGTAGAAAGTCTGTAAGGTAGAAGAGGCTTATGAATTGCAGTTATACCAATAAAAGTTAAAACAAATGTTTAAAATGTAAATTTATAACATATGCTTATTGTGTTTTTTTTCTTCCTTAAAAAGGACATAGAACAGTTATAAACATTGCTACCTAAAAGTATTAAAATGAGCTTATTTTATTTCAGATATGGCTAAAACTTCACAGAATTGTTCAGAAATGTGTACTAAAGGGATACAAACTGCAATATAAGTGGAATCTGACATTAGCTGATCTAATATGGGTCAATATCCCTAATGGACCTTGAGATGAGGAACACAGATTTATGACTCTCATTAAAAAATTAGTCCGCCATACAATTGTGGAAGCTGTGATTTTAAAAATTGACATAAATGAACTAGGACTGGTGTTTTATAGCGCTGATGTGATGTGAAAAAAAGTATAAAAAAATAAACCTGAACAAATAATTACAAAGGATATATTTTTTAATGATTTTTATGGTCAGAATTTTGTGATTATTTCCTGAGGAGAGTGACATTTTTCACTATCTTTCGGGGTTGGGCACTTGACGGGAAAACGAATCACACTTGCCACCCCGAAAATCGCACCACACATGTGCAAGTGTCTCAGCTTCAAAATGAGCCATCATACATATCCAAGTTTACGATATGGCCTGAGCAACAGAAGAAAACGTTAACATTACCGCCTATGGAGAATCTATTACGCATATTGCCCCAAATGTCCATAGTGTTTTGAGCGCAAATGTCCTATCGTGTTACAGGTAAAAAAGCGCAAACGTCCTGTACCCTTTCATACATTAAAATTTTTTCAACAGAGCAATTACAATGTTCAATGTTAATTCGTGGAAGACTTCAAAATATATTTGCAAACTAAATGTAAAACATATTTTTTGCAATTTTATATCTTTATATAGGATGCCTTTATCTGAACCAAGATTTTTCTCCTTCTAGGTCTTCTTGATTTTTAGACATTTAGAATCTTTTGACGGAGGAAAAAAGAAAAGCTCGAAACTTAAAAAAAAAAGTATTAATCTGGACTTTGGGGATTTTTGAAAATTAGTTTCGACTAACTCTATCAAAGACTCGTTATGTTTTAAAAAGAAAGAATAACAACCAGTTGTATTCTAACTAAGCTTTTAGCTAGTTTCTATACTAATATATTGACTTTCAGAATAATTATCGAAAGGAGTCCGTGTTGAATCTAGCATTAGGAGTATAACTTTGATTGTTACACATAAAACACCAGAAAGGCGTTGTTATTGCGCAATATTCTTGAGCATGATATTATAGATATCGAAAGTGATTTTGTCGCAATTTGCTAGTGTGAAAAACTCGTCAGTGGTATATCTATTCTAAATATAACGGCATTTCTAATATGAATTAAAATTATTTTTATGCCACAGAATGTTATTGTCGATTACAGTTTGATTTCCATATAACATTTGGTTTATTTTTACTACAATGCCTTTCTTCGCCAAGATGTTTATTGTAACTGGTCAACTAAAGGTTACTACTGCTTATATTCACATTTAGCAATACACAGCATAACAATGATAAGAAAAGATCAAAAATGAAAAACATACCGTATTCTAATTAAATGAATAAATGCAAATTTATTGCACTTTATGAAACATGAGGCTCACTGTCTTAATTGACGGTGTTTCACTTAAAATGAGTAAAATATATTCAACTATATCTGTATAGAATTGAATAAAAGTCGAAAAAAGTGTTATTTACTAACACTGAAAGTTTCAATTATAAGTCGAATGGAATACTGATTAATTTTGTTTCCAATTATTGAGAAAATATAAAGACATGTATTTATTTCGGTTCAATTGCTGTTCTATCAGAAACAGGAAATTTATACATGGGATGAAATATAAAATTGAGAATGGAAACGGGGAATGTGTCAAAGAGACAACAACCCGACCAAAGAGAAGAACCCAGCACAAGGCCACCAATGGGTCTTCAACACAGCGAGAAACTCCCACACCCGCAGGCGGGCTTCAGCTGGCCCCTAAACAAAAAGTACATTTGACTAGAATTGTTGAGGTGTATTTTGTAATCCGTTTGCATTGCTTCTGATTCTCCATTTTCTCTCTCAGGACGGTAATTCTGCATCTGATGAGTAATGTTCAAAGGTAATATATCTCTCAGAACGGTGATACTACATCTGACGAGTAATGCTCAATGTCAATGTTATGAATAACACCGTAACTGTCTTTGCTACAATGACTGTCTGAAGATAAGTTAGAGTCAATACTTGACCGCGAGGCGGCGCTATTTACTGAACGTTTTGCCCAGGTCGATCCATCTTCTTCCGGTATAATGGATATTTCCTTGACCTTTGTGTCTCTTTCTCCTCGTTTTATACGAATGTGACTTTTGACAAACTTATAAAATCTCCTGGAATCGTTTCGTATCTACAATAGAATTAATAAAATTCGTTAAAGTGACATTTTTATCGACCGATTCAATATAGAGACACGTATTATATAACTATTTGAAAAGCTATAGTATTTATGGACATTTTTAAGTTAGCATATCATGACATCGTGTGGTCAGAGGACATTTAAGGGGCTAATTCTAATAGAATTATAAAACTTTAATATCGTACTTGAATTCAATTTCCTGAAAACCATGATGTAACACCCGGAAACCATAAATGATTTTTAATTTTTATGGATATAAAAGGTGGTCTTTATCAAATGGATGGTATGATCTGGGACTATTATACTAGTTAGTATAATAGTCCCAGGTATGATTAATAATTATATCTGAATTCATGTCTTGTTATAAATTTAGGGCGGAAGGGATAATTTGAACACAGCAGACATTTTAGTCCGTTACTGTTCTATTCGCTATTTATAACAAAACTGATTACATATCCATGCCTTTTTATTTGACTCTGATCTGTCTTACCTAGGGTCAGTGATACAGAAACTAACCTAGAAATATAATTTGTTTACTTGTAACTATTTGTATACATTTCAAACACATTTATATAAAATAAGTCGAATTTGATGCATTGAGGGATTATAATTTGACATGTTTACCATTCATGTTTAAATCATTTGTGTGAGAATGACTTTAGGGAAGAATTAATTTGATTGCAAACAATTCTGTGTCATTTCATTGAAATAATATGCAACGCAATTTGCATGTATGATTTATAAGAAACCAAAGTAAAACGAGCATTAAACTTAAATTCACATTGAACGGATTTCATTTGAATGTAAAAATCATTTCATAATGACACTTATATTTAGAGTGACAACTAGATGGTTATTTTATATGTTTAATTTACACAATAACATACTTTACATTGATCGTGGTCATGGTAGTAATAAGAAAACAAGTTTTAAAAAACGGCAGTACTACTGTCATGACATTGAATTTATTCATTAGTACAATGCAGAAAAACTACATCTTTATATTGAAAAATAGTAAAAAATCAAAAAGAATTTATAAGAAAATAACCCTGAATCTTTGCTTGTGTCTGTTTGTAGATCGCCTCGTCTTGTATTGTCTATTCTCTAAATAATTTTTCATTCTATTGTATGATTAGTTGGAATTTTTAGTGGTGCCTAAGTCGTATTTGATCAATCTATTCATTTATTTTCTCTTTGAATTATTCCAAAAGAAGAATAGACATAAAAAAATATAACATTGATAATTTACCCAGTTTTATTAAGTTTTTTATGCTGATGAAAATGAACTGACTTTTTCTTTCATGATTTAAATATTACAGTAATATGGCTTATGCGTACACGTTTTTTCTTCTTCTTTGGATCCCTATCTTTTCAGTAATTGGTAAAGTTCGTTATAAAACATTGAGTTTAATATTTACACTTACATTTGTAACTGTTTCACTTAATGTTTCCTTGGCTGTTTTAGGGCGATTCATTTTCTTTTGTTCGTCGTCAACGTACACACTTTTCAATTCCTGCAACAACATAAAGATAAAAGACAATGTAGTACAGTATACATATATTATAAGCTAATGATTTTTTCATACATGTAGATGTTTCACAAGAATTCCATCATTTTGATGGCATTGCAGACAACAATCACGTGGTGTTTAAAAGTGACGTTTTATGTCTTTATAAAACGCAACATTCATGCCTGCAATTGCTCTCCAGGACAACATTACAGTAATTCGCAATAATATTAAAAATAAAACAAACGAAATGCTTGATTTAACTCGTAATTTCCTGGTTCAGCTTTAAATGTACACGTAGTTGAAGAATTACATGTTTTTAGTATAGTTATAGGGCTGAACAAGCGTGGACCGTTCGCACACTTTTAATATGAAGCATCCCCAGTTCATACAAATTGTGCTTTTGACAACGGTTGTATGCCAAGTAAAAGAAGAAAAAAGCAAATAAGTGTTTATCATTGTGTTGAAAATAACCAATCCGACCATACTTTATATAATAAGGACAATAAACAAACAATCACCAACCCGACCATACTTTATATAATAAGGACAATAAACAAACAATAACCAATCCGACCATACTTTATATAATAAGGACAATAAACAAACAATCCAAAAGAAAAGTGCCCGACAGTACCGATAAACAGAGAAAACAATGATATTGGGTTTTCCGGAAGGTTAAACATATCCTGCTCTATATATTAACAGATGATGTCTTCCTTTTTTATTACCATTCAAGATATTTCTAGATTACAATGAAAACATATTGCACAATAATTGTTGTTTTTGTTTTTTAAATTATATCATTTCAGTTTTTTTTTCATTTCAAAACAACAACATTAACAACAGATATAGATAGAAACAAAAACGAATGATACATGTTCATAGAATGTTTGAATATCTACTTAAACCCTAGAAATCTGGGTTTGAACACACAGATTAGTTTGTCAATCATGACACCCAGAATCTGCTTTAATACATAATTGTCAACTCAAACTGTTTACTCTTTGCATTAAGATTTATGATATATACTAAACTAATTCAATAAAGTAAACATGAATATAAAGTATGTGTTATTAAGGGAAATAAAGAATATGTCAATTTCAGTCTTTGATGTAGTTTCATTTAATAGGGAAATTCAATGTAAAGAAATATGTGTAAAAAAATTAAAAAACCACTGTGTTCATTATCGTCGTGAACAAATGTTCTTTAAAACTTATATAATGATGCTTTTTAAACCTATTCAACCCAAGTTCTACTTTTAAAACTTATTCACTCGAAGTTTTAGAATTTTCTTGATTAAACCAAAGCAACAAAACAAATAAAATCCACCCTCTATGTCTCTGAAGTTTTAAGTAGTTAACAACATATACATTATGAAACAAGCGAGGGATATATTATAATGTATGCGTTCCATAAATTTGAAGAAAGAAAACCAATTTCAGTGCCTCAATTGTAATTCTTTCTTGCTTTTTTATACTTGTATTGTTTTTCCTAGGTGCGACATGTCGAGATTGAATTCTTACACATCCAATGTAAAAATCAACTTCAAAAAGTATCTCAAAAACGATATTCTTGGATTATATATACATATATGCCTACCTTTTTGAAAGTTGAAATTGGGAAAAAATCAAGCTTTACAACACAAAGAGTATAAATAATCTACTTGAACAATGGCGTATTATTTCAAAAATACACGAACTAAATCACCCCTGGCATGTCATCTTAGTCCCCTGAAAGACGTACAATACAATTTTTCATTTGATAAGTTTCAATCGGTTTAAAAAACGTAAAAAAATAATTGTTTTCTCAATTAAAAATCTATGTGGGGTCAACAACAAAAGATTTGCTTTCACTGCTTGACCTCTGGGGGGAGGTGATATCGTCAATATAATTTTTAGATGATTCATTGAAATTATTTTAGTGTATTGAACACTGTAAAGAAACTCTAGTTTGATTGATTAGCTGTTGCTTACTTAAAACCCAGAGGCATATTTCATGTATATTCAGAACGAAAAGTCACTTGAACTGTTCATATTATTCCACAGATTATTGTGGTCATTATTTCATTTTGCATTGTTAGTTTTTTCCCGCATTTTAATCATTAATCATTAAAAAAATGGAAAAAAAAACTCTGGTTTCGAATTTCTACTTTGAAAATCTGACATGACAAACAAAAGATATAAACATTCAATGTTGTATTATACACCGTTGTTGTCAAAGTACAACTGTTGATATATCGGAAAAAGCAACCCCATGTTCGTAATAGTTAGTTTTTTGGTTGTTTTCTTTTCCTGTATGCTTATCGTTTGGTCAAAACTTTGAGCCTAGATAAAAAAAAACCTGATTAACATTACTTGCAACTTAAGACAACATGTTCATAGTTTAAAGTATTTATCCGGAATCAATTAGATGGGGACAAATACATGATTTTTTTTTCTAACATCATTAACCTTAGTATTACATAAAGCCTACCTTCAATTCATCTGTGTTATCCTTTATATAATTATTATGTAGAACTGAAGCCATGCCGAGAGATGTTCACATCATATTTACAGAAAATGCCTCGAACCAAAATTGTACCCACAAATGACTAGTACCACCCTGAACGTTTGACGTTATACCTAATTACATATTTATAAAAGAATCCATTTGTGCCTGCAGCAGGCGATTGTCGCTATAGTAACTATAAAACCATGCGATATAAGCAAAGATTGTATATTATGGTTCTTCTTTACCTATACTTGATTAGCTTAACTGCTCTGCAAATTAAATAAATAATTTAGCTCCATATTAGCTTGAACCCATCAACATGCAATGTTTGCACTCATAAGGTCGATGACTGGTTTAAACGTAAGATAATTAACTAATAAAAAGTTTTATTAGTTGTATGTATGTATTTAATGTAACGAGACCGTTTTGAAAACTCTTTGGATTTTCCACTGATATATAGTTTTCACGCGTCATTCACCTCTAATGGTGTAAAACATAGTTGGAATTTATCCTTACCAAAAATCAAGTGGGACATTTACTAAAAGTAGAAAGCTAGACGACACCATACGAAGCTAGTGAAGCCATATCAAACTCCGCCTGCCTGTGATATTGTTGTCTATAATGTTAAGTATATATACATCTTACTGCAAGACAACAAAAAATCCCACATCTTACAGCAAATCTAACATACAACTTACAACAAGATTTAGAGTTAAACAAAGATCTACACATTCTATGTATTATCCATAAAAACAAAACAGGAAGATCAAAACTCAACACAAGAACACAAGAACCAAAACCTTACATCGAGTGTCAAAGAAACAAAAGGACTAACGCATTATAGAAAGATCAAGACGAACTTAAACATTGGAACAACATTTTTACGAACCATTAACTCCAGTTCTAACTGGACGGTTTATTCCAATCAAAGGGCCCAAACCTTTCAGCAACATTATGACGAATTAGAAGAACACTGAAATGTTTCATGTCGGGGCCTTTTATAGCCGTCTATACGGTATGGGGTTTTCTCATTGTTGAAGGCCATACGTTTGCCTACAATTGCTTACATCCTCTTCGTTTTAACTTTGGTGGATAGTTGTCTCATTTGCAATCATACCACATCTCCTAATCTTTATATCAATTGTTCTGTAACACTCCCAAATTCCTGTCTTCACCCGACAATAATTTCTGTAACACTCCCAACTCCTGCCTTCTCCCAACAATGATTTCTGTAACACTCCCAAAAACCTGCCTTCTCCCAACAATGATTTCTGTAACACTCCCAAACTCCTGCCTTCTCCTAACAATGATTTCTGTAACACTCCCAAACTCCTGCCCTCTCCTAACAATGATTTCTGTAACACTCCCAAACTCATGCCTTCTCCCAACAATGATTTCTGTAACACTCCCTAACTCCTGCCCTCGCCCAACAATGATTTCTGTACATTCCTAAACTTCTGCCTTCTCCCAACAATGATTTCTGTAACACTCCCTAACTCCTGCCTTCTCCCAACAATGATTTCTGTAACACTCCCAAACTCCTGCCTTCTCCCAACAATGATTTCTGTAACACTCCTACTCCCAACAATGATTTCTGTAACACTCCCAAACTCCTGCCTTCTCCCAACAATGATTTCTGTAACACTCCCAAACTCCTGCCTTCTCCCAACAATGATTTCTGTAACACTCCCAAAAACCTGCCTTCTCCCAACAATGATTTCTGTAACACTCCCAAACTCCTGCCTTCTCCTAACAATGATTTCTGTAACACTCCCAAACTCCTGCCCTCTCCTAACAATGATTTCTGTAACACTCCCAAACTCATGCCTTCTCCCAACAATGATTTCTGTAACACTCCCTAACTCCTGCCCTCGCCCAACAATGATTTCTGTACATTCCTAAACTTCTGCCTTCTCCCAACAATGATTTCTGTAACACTCCCTAACTCCTGCCTTCTCCCAACAATGATTTCTGTAACACTCCCAAACTCCTGCCTTCTCCCAACAATGATTTCTGTAACACTCCCAAACTCCTGCCTTCTCCCAACAATGATTTCTGTAACACTCCCAAACTCCTGCCCTCTCCTAACAATGATTTCTGTAACACTCCTAAACTCCTGCCCTCTCCTAACAATGATTTCTGTAACACTCCCAAACTCCTGCCTTCTCCCAACAATGATTTCTGTAACACTCCCAAACTCCTGCCCTCTCCTAACAATGATTTCTGTAACACTCCCAAACTCCTGCCTTCTCCGAACAATGATTCTGTAACACTCCTAAACTCCTGCCTTCTCCCAACAATGATTTCTGTAACACTCCCAAACTCCTGCCCTCGCCCAACAATGATTTCTGTAACACTCCCAAACTCCTGCCTTCTCCCAACAATGATTTCTGTAACACTCCCAAACTCCTGCCCTCGCCCAACAATGATTTCTGTAACACTCCCAAACTCCTGCCTTCTCCCAACAATGATTTCTGTAACACTTCCAAACTCCTGCCCTCTCCTAACAATGATTTCTGTAACACTCCCAAACTCCTGCCTTCTCCCAACAATGATTTCTGTAACACTCCCAAACTCCTGCCTTCTCCCAACAATGATTTCTGTAACACTCCCAAACTCCTGCCTTCTCCCAACAATGATTTCTGTAACACTCCCAAAAACCGGCCTTCTCCCAACAATGATTTCTGTAACACTCCTAACTCCTGTCCTCGCCCAACAATGATTTCTGTAACATTCCCAAACTCCTGCCTTCTCCCAACAATAATTTCTGTAACACTCCCAAACTCCTGCCTTCTCCCAACAATGATTTCTGTAACACTCCTAACTCCTGCCCTCTCCTAACAATGATTTCTGTAACACTCCCAAATCCTGCCTTCTCCCAACAATGATTTCTGTAACACTCCCAAACTCCTGCCCTCGCCCAACAATGATTTCTGTAACACTCCCAAACTCCTGCCTTCTCCCAACAATGATTTCTGTAACACTCCCAAACTCCTGCCCTCGCCCAACTATGATTTCTGTAACACTCCCAAACTCCTGCCCTCGTCCAACAATGATTTCTGTAACACTCCCAAACTCCTCCTTCCCCCAACAATGAATTTTCTGTCTTCTCCTTACAATGATTTCTCATGACACTTTTAACAAATAATAACACTCATTTATCTACTAATTTTTTTTTTTGGAAAAAAAAAATATAAGAGAATGATAATTTTGGCTTTACCGGTTTTTGTAATTCGGTTAATGTAATAAAATTGGATTTGTTAATGAGTTAAAAACTCTGTTGTATAATAAATGTGTTAATTTTACGTGGGCTTTAATTGTAGTGTTTAGAACATTTTATGAATGAATAGTAAAGAGCTGATTTCCTTATTCCAGTAATCGATATCAGCATCTTTAAACTACGGAAATCAAGCATTGATTGCATATTTCAACGATATTCAGTCACGTAGTCCCTATTTTTTTATATAATTGAGAAAACTAATACTAGTTTGTAAACATTTACCGAAGTTTGCTTAGTGAGGATGTAGTTGGTTTGAGGTTTTAATTCCCCCCCCTCTCTTTTATATATATATATGTGTGGGTTAACACCGATGTAACAGCGATCCAACAACTATTAGCCCCACCCCCCTACTCCCCCCCCCCACCCAAAGATGCATCGCGCTTATAATAAATAACCTCTAATTCGTTCGTCAATCGAGATCAACTGAGGTAATGTCGTTATTATTTGGTGTATATATGTTCTAATACTATTATGTGTTCGACCGAGGAAAGGACTATGAGACGTAATCTAATAGATATATTTAAAAGTAGCATAATGGATATTTTTTTAATTTTATTTCTTTGTATTACAAGGAAAAGTTTCACACATTTGAAGGGATAGATAGACAAAGGACAAAGTTATAAAATAATTTTATGGTTCAATTATTCAAATACAATATAAATAAATAAAGTCGTACAATATTATTTTAAGAATTAGAGGATCAGATGTACAGACAGTCAAATATTTAAAATAGATACCACTTCTCCGTTATAAGCCGTATAAAGACATTTCACAGACATCAGACTGTTAGAGTTATATCACTTTAAAAATATTGAAATGAAACGCAAAAAATATATAATTAGCAAACATCGGGATTTTGGCATTGTTCGCTACAAAAGTATTTCATATCAAAGTATGGATTTATTTATTTGCTAGTACTGCTTTGACTTAATTTAATTATACGTTCTTTTGTTATTAGAATACTCTCAGAGGTCAAAAGGACATATCAATATGACGTAAATGAATGGGTATATCCTTGACAAACTTTCCATTTATTCACTCTTTGAAATCTTCATTGAACTATTTTCTAGTACTATCTGTGTTGAACACTAGAACTTAAGACGAATTACTGAATGCTTAAAAGTACAATATCATAGAGTCTTGTTACAAAACAATTCCAATCAATAGATATATCTATTGTTTGTAAAAACAATGACAACAAAACGGAACCATCTCGTCACATTAAAATAATAAAATGAAATATAATTAACCCTTGGAGGTTAAACTGACAGTTTGGTTATTGTACTAACTCAACAAGCTTGATATCAAAAATCTAAAAATGGTTAAAAACCAAACGTGTGTGATGACATACCTGAAACAATGGACATTTCTAATAAATTTAGCTATTTTGAAATTGAATCCTGAGGAATTTATGAAGTATTAGAACTATATTGACAGTCACATTGATTTCGATTTATTTATGGTTGTCATGCTGGAACATTTATGATTGTCATACTGGAACATTTATGATTGTCATACTGGAACATTATATATTTTGATTTGAAATAAGTCTGTTACTTAACAGGAAAGTAGAAATAGTTTTTGGCTGTACTAGAGACAGTAATCCCACAAAATACCCAGACATGAACAATACATAAAAGGAACATCGCTTTATCTTATGGTCTTTTGTCTAATTAGAAATATATTAGTGGGTGTTTTTTGTTGGACAAAAATTCCTTCATATCATATTGATTGATACAAAAGTATTAGTTCATACATAGAATAACAACCACATTATCAACAAATCAGTTCTTTAATTAATATGTTGTTTGTTACAACTATCTTAAGATAAAAACAGCTTAGTTCTGTGTTTCACTTTCATGATTTCACCTTAATATGAACCTAACAGTTACTGAGCCAAAAAGAAGTAATAATTATCGGGATGTAAGTCGTATAGTTTTTTTTATTGCTATATCAAATTAATGGTTGTACATTTGCGTTTCGAGATCGTATCATAATGATAAGTGAAGCATGATGTTATTAAGCAGCTTTATTTTGATATGACTGGCCTTCCGTGGCATACAAAATCCTTTACTTCTTTTTGTTTTCAATACTGTTTTTAAATGTCTTTTATATATATATATATATATATATATATATAGATTGCCTAACAATGTAATATATATATATATATATATATATATATATATTGATACAATATACGTTAATAAAACATCTATATGTTGAAATATCAATACCAGCATTACATACTAACTGTGTTTTTATAAAAAAAAAAATTAAAAAAAAGAAACTGAAATTTTAGCTTTC